GTTCCCAGCCGCCCGGTGCTGCGGCCGCCCGCACTATGTCCTCCTCGCGGCGCCCGGCCCCCGTGGCCTCAGTGTCTCTGCCGTCTCGCTTGCACAGGCCCAGGTAAGACGCGTTTAGACCCCGCAGTGTTCGGAGTGGTGCTGCTTGGTTGATTTTTTGTTTTTATTTTGTTTTGACTAGGGGGAAGTGGGATGTGGAGGAGGGTTCTTGTTCACACTCCGCACAGCTCTCTGCTTGGGGTCTTTTCAAGTCAGTTGGGGGGAGTACAGCAGAAGAGATTTACGTTATATACATGCCATTGTTTCCCAGAGGTGCCAAGCCACTGATGGCAATATGAAATGTGATTCCAGGTGTGTGTGTATTAGAAATTTGAAACTTGCATATCATTTACATGATTTCATGAATATTGATATATCTGAGGCTGAGACTAAGTAGATATTTTGGTCTTAAAAACTGAGTTGTTTTAAAGGAAAATTATTATAATGGTTTGAGTATGTGCAAAATCTTAACAGTGATACTCAAATGACTGAAGTTTGGAAAACACTGATATAAGAAATAACTTTCATAACATCTTTCTATCAGTAAGTTATTTTCCTACCTTGGGGGCAAAATGAAGTGTTCTTTTTAAGACCTGAGTTCTGTGGACATGTAGGCTAACCTGGGAGAATGGGAAGTAGAGAGTCAAGAGAACAACCCAGTCCTGGTTATCATAAAGGGCCCCCAATTTCTGTGTCCCACCTACTGAATATTACACATGGCTTCCTTTTTGCACAGGTTCAGGCCCCTCCTGTCATTCCTGCAACTCCCTCACCTACAGCAGTAACTGAGGTGGCTTCTGGAGAGACTGCAGATGTAGTCCAAGCTGTTGCAGAACAGAGCTTCACTGAACTGGGGCTGGGGTCCTACACCCCAGTGGGAATGATCCAGAACCTACTGGAATTTATACATGTTAACCTGGGCCTACCTTGGTGGGGGGCCATTGCTGTGTGTAAGAGGACTGCATCATGGAAAAGGGATCCTGGAAGAAATGGGGAGTTAGGGATAGAACTTTAAAGAATAGCAATTCTGTGAGGGGATCAAGGAAATAGTTGAAGTTTAGAGGTCAGAAAAAACAGATTCCAATGAGGGATAAAGACCCATGATACTTAGATGCACTCCACCTTTATTTCCTAAAGGGCATTGTAATGCCAGTAGAACATCTGTGATTCAAGAAGTGTAAATATTTGAATGTGAGCATGGGGTTAGAGTAAGGGGACCTTTTTCACAGTGATGAAGCTGCCCTGGTTTAAGAAGAGTAAAAAGTCAGATCAGGCAGTTAAGCCCCAATATTGGGAAACACTCACATTGTTCCTTCTGTAGGCTAAAACTGCTTCAGATTCTGTATCTTCCTACACGTTGCTCCTGGGATCATGTTATCTCCCTGTGTCTTCAACTTCTCCCTTTTTATTGACCTACTCTGAACATATAAACATGCTCAAGTATACCATATTTTTCTTGGAAGAAAATCTTTTCCCTTTTACTCTTAGTTCACCTTTTATTCTTAGTTCACTTTCTCCTTCCGTTCATAGCTATTATTTAAAAGAGTATTCTGTATCCAGTGAGCTTACTTCTTTCCACTCTTTGACCCTTTTACTACTACCACTTCATTGTAACTGCCATTACATCATTGCTAAATCCACTTTCTTTTTATAGTTGACTTTTCTGTGTTAGACACTTTAGACCCTGAAATATATTCCTTGGCTTTTGTGACAGTCTTTTCTGATTTTCTTCCTTTCTTTCTGACCACACCTTCCCATCTCCATTGTTCAATACACTGTCTACCCCAGAATACCCAGTGTTGGTATTCTGGGTTCCATCCTTAGCTCCCTTCTTTCCACTGCACATCATCCATCATAATGTTGGTAAAGCCTAAACCTGTATCTCTCCTCAACTCCCATCTCTTTTTATTTATTTTTTTATCCTCACCAGAGGATATTTTTTCCATTGCTTTTCAGAGAGAATGGAAGGGAGAGAGATAGAGAAACATTGATGTGAGAGAGACACATTGATTAGCTGCCTCCTGTACATGCCCTGACCTCGGCCTGGGATCGAGCCTGCACAGCTTGTAATGGAGGTACATGCCCTTGGCCAGAATCGAACCCGGGACCCTTCAGTCCATGGGCCAAAGCTCTAACCACTGAGCCAGACTGGCTTTAGCCCAGACCCACTTGCTTGTCTATAGATACCATAAATTAAGTTAATATTTGTTGCCATGATCAGGGATATGAAGTATAAAAAAAGAAATAGGAAGGAGCTTAAGTGGTAGGCCACCATATTAGCTCCTGCTCCAGAGGTTTCTAAAACATCGGCTTTCAAACTTTATTCCTGAGAACCCCAGTGTTCTGTCAAGGTACCTCTCTGACCAAAGCAAAGGCCAGAGTTTAAACAGTCCTATAGCAAGACTATCCCCTCACCTAGGGCAGCTTAATTTTATCTGTTACACATATTGGGACTAGGAGTTGGGGGAGAAAGGGAGATGTTCCATTGATAATAAAAAAGTTTGGAATCCATTGATCTAGAAAAGCACCTTCTGTCACCTTTTGTTCAAGGAAACAAGATTCATGATTGTTTGCTTAGAGAAGTTAATGCTAGACTTTTGTGATGTCAAAGCAGAGGACTGAGCCTTGAAGGAACTAACTCATATCCCTACCTTTGTTTCGGACCCCTTGGGTATGAGTCACAGTATGGAAAAGACTAGAATAAGAGAGAGCCTTTCAGTAAGAATCTAAAAATCTTCAACCTTCTAGCTGTAGAACTGCTTTAATTTTACTCCAATCCTAGTATGTATTTTCCAGGTACAGTCTTTGCCCGCTGCCTGGTGTTTCCTCTCATTGTGAAGGGCCAACGAGAGGCAGCCAAGATCCACAACCACATGCCAGAAATCCAAAAGTTTTCCACTCGAATCAGAGACGCCAAGTTGGCAGGAGACCATGCTGAGTGTGAGTCAATTGCAGAATGAGCGTGGGAGAGGACCACATTTACACTTTTCCTGACATTCTGCTGAGGGAAAGGAACAACCTAAGTCAGGAGTTGCTACAGTTGGGCAGGTCCTAAATATTTACCTGCTTCTTGCACCTTATGGTTCCAGTGACTGGCCAGGGTCATTTAGAAAAGTCGTGGGGCAGGTGATGAGGATGGTCACCTCCAGCAATGTAACTCTCTGCCCAACCACTAACTTCCCCTCGCTTCTCAGTTTACAGGGCATCCTCGGAGATGACATTGTATCAGAAAAAACATGATATTAAACTCTTTAGACCTCTCATTCTACCTCTGACTCAGGTAAGCAAAAACATTTCCCTTATTTTATCCTGAACCAATCAGATTACCTCCTGTTTCCCATGCCCTAGACCCCCAGAAAGCAGGTGGAGGTGGTATTATACATGATTTTTAATAATGGAATAATGAAAATGTCCTCTCTGATAAACGGTACTGACACTGTTTATCCTTTGTGATAGGCACCGATCTTCATCTCCTTCTTCATTTCCTTGAGAGAAATGGCCAATCTTCCTGTGCCCAGCTTACAGACAGGTGGCCTCTGGTGGTTCCAGGATCTCACACTATCTGACCCCACCTACATATTACCACTGGTAGTCACTGCTACAATGTGGGGTGTCCTTGAGGTAAGCCCAGGTTGGCCAGGTGCCAGGCCTGCAAAGTGAACTGGAATTAGGGTAAAGCAATTATATGGAATGATCATTCTTTACTCCCTGGAGGAATAGAGTTGATGGGTAAGAAATCTGAGCCATAGTCACTAAAATTGCTACTCTTCCTCTGCTTTCTCTTGGCAGCTAGGTGCTGAAACTGGTGTGCAAAGTGCTGACCTTCACTGGATGAGAAATGTTATGAGATTGATGCCCCTGGCAGTCTTGCCCATAACTGTCCATTTCCCCTCGGTAGGCAATGACTTAGGGGCTGGCTCCGAGTCCTTCCTCCTAGCCTAGCCTCCTTCCTGCAGGATAACCAGGGATGCAGTTTCTCATTACCTTCTCTTCTCATCCAGGCAGTGTTCGTGTATTGGCTCTCCTCGAATATGTTTTCCCTGGTCCAGGTGGCTTGCCTCCGGATTCCAGCTGTACGCACTGTACTTAAAATCCCTCAGCGTGTTGTACATGATGCCAGCAAATTACCTCCACAGGAAGGCTTCTTAAAGAGCTTCAAAACAGGTAAGGGCCTGTCCTCTGTGAGTCAGGCCCGGAGGAAGGTGGTCTAAAAATGGGTATGAGACTGACTTACTCTTTATATAGGCTGGAAGAATGCTGAAATCAACTATCAGCTACAAGAGCGTGAACGGCGCATGCAGAATCACTTGGAGCTAGCATCCAGGGGTAAATAGCCCTTTCAGTCTAAATTCTGTCATTGTTTCTTCCTTCCTTTTGTTTATTAAACTTCTCTTCTTCCCCCAGGTCCCTTACGACAGACCTTTACCCACAACCCTCTGCTACAACATGGAAAAAATCCCCCTCCCACTACCCCTAACAGCAGCTGCAACAAACCAAAGTCAAAGCAGCCTTGGCGTGACACACTTGGCTGAGTGATGTTCTGTGCTCATACTGACATTAACTCTGTTTCTCTAAAGACTCAGCCTTAGAACAAGATGTGATACTGGGTCCTTGCCCAGACCTAGAAACTGTGGGACATGGAGATACTCGTTTTAAAAGTGGATTTGACTAAACTCTTACGTCTAAGTATAAAAGAGCACTGGGGAGCCAAGTTATCTTCCCATCCACAGGATTAGTAAACTTCTGTATTATATATTGTTTCCTGGTATTTATTAAATGGGGAGATGGATTGTGTGCTTCAGAAAACTAAAGAACAGGTTGGTGGTGGTTGCTCTTGCTGGCCTGTGCTCTTAGGAAGTATCTCAGTATAGTAACCTGGCGTTAAGAGCTTAGACCCCAACCCCATAGATGTGTTGTTTGCATTGCAGTTACAGGCGTATGCCTGATAAGTTGAGATTATATCAAAACAGAATAACCACATTTATTTACCCCAAGGTTACCTATAAAATATCCTTCAAGAAGTAGATGTGCTCAAATTCTTAGTGGTAATGAAGAAGAATGGACATTGATATAGTTTTTATCTAACAACCTTAACATTTTGCTGCAGCAGCTTAGGTGCAGAGATTGGTTGCATCAGCCTCAGCAACGGGCTTGAGAGGGAAGAAATACTCTGATATTTTTAAGCATTAGATTGTTTTTAGTTTTCTTGCCACGCTAATAGGAACTGCCCTCAGAGACACCATATAAAATGAAGACCCTCAAAGCTTAGGAACATAACCCTTTTATTGTCCAGCACCTATACAGTTCCATGTCTCTTTAAAGGAGACAGGAAGTTTGGAGCATTTTTGACCCTTTTAAAGGAAAAGAGGCATAGGTAGGCACTCCCCCAAAGTGAGTAAACATCTAACACATGGGAATGTGCTTCTAGAATAACCAAACCCACACCTGACATGCTCCCACCAGTCTGCTTTATCACCCCTTTAAAAAAATCTGGAACAATATGTAGCAAAACAAATAAATTACTGTCCATCTCTCAAAAAAGCAAGTTCAAAGGTTGTTGAAGCTGCCTAGACCAGGCTTCTGGACAGGTGCCTCTAAAGAAGTAAGCTTTCCTTTTCAACTTCCTTGGCTTCAACCAGTAGAAGGCAAGAGGTTCTGCTTTTCATATCTCAGGATTCTGTGTATTATTTAGTTAGACTTGGGATCTCGTTGCTTGGGCATCTCTCCATCTTCCAAGTCCATCTCTGCAGCAACTGACATACATAGAACCTGGAGGTACCGTGTGGTAGATGCTACAAAGAGAAGTTTGAATCAAAATTCAAGAGGTCAACTGGGCTGAGTTCCAGTGGCACTGAATAAGGTTGGGCCAGAGGAGACAATTTAGTTAAGCCTTAGGGTAACAACAGGAAAGGGCTATGGCAAAGGTGACTTGGGACAGGATTTGCAGAAAAGGAAAAAAAAAAAAAAAAGTTGTGTATTAGCCAAGCCAACCTGAGGATCCAAATCTTACCCAAAATCCTTCGGAGGCAGTGAGGTCGTTTGTGTTCTGGCACTCTGATGATGAAGAAGTAAAAGGGCAGTCCTGAGAGGCCAATGCCAATGCCAATGAGGGAGTTGATGGTATCACTGTAAAGTGGAATGACCACCAGGAAGATGGTGCAGCAGCAGAAGACAATGGGGAAGAAAAGGCTGAGCTAAGGGCACAGAAGAAAACTGGAAATTAGCTCAGGATTGACAGCCAAAAGATTTAGAGCAGTGAGCTAGCTGCCTTTTCATCCGCTCTGTCTCAACACACTGCCACCAGCAAGTCCTAGACAAAAGTTTCTGAATAAACCATCTTGTAAGAGTCCCCAGGGCAGATGGAGCAGAGGTGGGATGGAGGTGAGTTACCTTGAGTGAACGAGGTCGCTCAGGCTCCTTCCAGCGCAGATAAAGCTGACCCACAATTGAGAGCCCCACAAAGAACCAGTAGCTGAAGCTGTAGTAGTTAATGAGCTGGAAGATGTCCTCCACACACAAGTAGATCAATGCCATGATACCCTGTAAGCACAATCAGCTCCTCAAGGCCTTTGTTACTTAAGGTATTTTTCACTCCCCTTTACCAAAGCCGTCCCCTTTTCCAAGTCCTCCGAGCCTCCCCATCTGTCCTTTTCGGTTCCCATTCTCTTTAGCACCTGAGTTTTAATATCTCATTCCTTTTCTATTAAGTCAATAGCCTCATTTGGTTTTTCAGCCCATTCTTCAACCCCTATAAAGCACAGCTCAAAACAATTCCTCAAAAATATTTTGCTTAAAAGCCTCCCTGTAATGATTCCAACCTACATTTCCAGCTTATCTACTACTCATCCCCATATTGCTCTACCTTTGAACTTTCTGATGCTGTTTCTCTTAACCTAAAGCCCATCTCTACTACCATTTGCAACCCTAACCTTAAAAATCTACTTCAAGCCTTAGCCGGTTTGACTCAGTGGTTAAAGTGTCAGCCCACGAACTGAAGGGTCCCGGGTTTGATTTCAGCCAAGGGCACATACCTCAGTTGCAGGCTTGTTCCCCGGCCCGTCAGGGTGCATGCAGGAGGCAACCAATCGATGTGTCTCTCTCACATCCATGTTTCTCCCTCTCTCCCTTCCACTCTCTGAAAAAGCAATGGAAAAAATATCCTCCAGCGAGGATGAAAAAAAATCTACTTCGAATGCCCTTGGTCAAAGAAGTCTTTCCTCATTCATCCTCTACCCGCATGGAAGTGATTCGCTTCTTTCCTTAAAAACTATATCTTCACTATCAGGGCAGTCATTACAATGTATCCCATGTGCTTTATGCCTTATCCTGATCCAAAGGTTACCACTCCTCAGAGAAGATAGATTCTCCTTAGGAACCACTGCAGCAGTTAGCAGAATGCCTTGTCCACAGTATGTCCTATCAGTATTTTTTCTATTAGAATCTCCTTTAGAGCTTTTAGGAAACTAGGACAGTTGCATCTACTTTTAATAAAGTTTCCCCCACAATCTGGCTTTCAGCCTCATCCTTGGAATCACTTACATTGAAGAGCAGAGCAGGCACTGGGGTGAACCGATGGACGTGAATCATGCAAATAGCATCGGGGAGATGGCCTTCTCTTGAGCCCACAAAGAAAAGCCTATTTTGGGTAAGATAGGAGAGGCTGAGAAACACCAAGTGCGGTCTGGTTCATGAGCCACAGAGCCCTCCATCTCTGCCATCCCCTCCAAGAAAGTTTAGGTAATATGGAATGGAGCTCAATATAAAGATTAGTAATAACTAGAGGCTGCGAATGTCATTTGGGGAGCACAGTGACTAAAGTCAATCCTATAAACCCTACCTCCCCCTAGCCATAGGTTTCAGAAGACCCTCCAGTAAAAGACACCACTCATACCTAGAAGCAGCCACAATGGAGGCATTGAGGCCACCAAAACAGGATAATGCAACTGCCACTGGAATTGTCCAGTTGAATATTCCAAAAATCTGGTCTGCAAAAGTCTAAGGAAAAGAGTCATTAGGGATGAAAGGCAAGGACAGACATGCCCCTAGATTCCCACTACTTGAACTCCAACCCTTCCACAACAGGGGTAACAGTACCTCCTTGCAAAGCCCAGTATCCCAGTGTCCTTTTAAGAACTATCTACTGAGACTTTCAAGAGCTGCACTATACCTAGAAGCTCAAAAACCCTCAGCCTTCTGCTAGTGAAAATCATTTACCACAGCAACAGCATCACTGGCCAGGATGTCCCTCATGTCTAGCACGGTGTAATAGGCCACATTGGTCAAGATGTAGATGATGGTGACAATGGGCATGGAAATGGCAATGGAGAGGGGTAAATTCCTACAGCCAAATAGAATAGTAGATACGTTAGTCCATAGTTGCATACCCATCTCTCCTTTAATCCTTAGATTCTGTCACACTTGTGGCATTTCCCCAGTGCCTTTGCCTTTGTTGCCTAGGATAGTAGCTTAAGCTTTGAACTTTTAAGAACTAAAGAGCATTAAGGAAAAGGAATATCACATTTGGAGAAAGTGCTACTATGCCCAAAAAAAGGGTTAACAACTGTCACATCATCACAATAGCACAGGAAGATGGGG